AAGCCTTCGACGAGTTCATTCGCTCGATGGGGGCAAAGATTCATGCCGGAGGAGTAAAGGGTTTTTACCGAGGCACAGATGGTGCCTTAGAGTACAAGGGAAGGATCGTTGTGCCAAAAGTCGAGGCCCTGAAGAAGGAAATCTTGATGAAGGCGCATAGTGCACCATACTTGGCACACCCCGGTAGCACCAAAATGTATCACAACTTGAAAGGGTCATTTTGGAGGAAGGGAATGAAGCGAGACGTCGCCGAGTTTGTCGAGAAGTGCTTGATTTTCCAGTAGGTGAAAGCGGAGCACAAGGTTCCAGCAGGTCTCTTACAGCCTTTAGAGATCCCGCAGTGGAAGTGGGAGAAGCTGACCATGGACTTTGTCACGGGATTACCGATGTCGGCCAAGCGTCACGACGCGGTATGGGTATTATTGGATCGACTGACGAAGTCGGCCCACTTTATGCCTGTCAGGATGGACATGCCCATGGAGAAGCTAGCCGAGACATATCTCCAAGGTATCGTTCGACTTCACGGCGTTTGTGTATTTATATATTTTTATAGTTTGACCAGTCAGTAGCAGCACTAGTATTTCAGCAGTTTAGGTGGGGACTCAGACTAAATATTACATTGAGTATAATTACAGCTATCATGTTCAAGGTATGTATATTCAGTTCCGCTTAGAATGGTGGCCAGTCCAGGTGTCGTAAGTCCATTATGAATTCTAGTGGCGTAATCTGCCCACTAGGGTGTGCACATGGTTCCGGATATAGCCGTCAGATTCAGTTTCTGATCCAGTAGCAGTTTATACTGTCGATCAGCAGTTCATGGACACAGACACAGATTATATATATGCTATTGATCATGATATTGCAATTATCCTCCCGATATAAAATTCCTGAATGCGTTGAGCCTACATGGTTGCTTCTGGTGCTTCGCAATCCTCTTTGGCGAAGAATCATGCTTCGTAATTAGGTTTGGATAAATAATATTGATATATTAATAATTAATAATCTAGGTTCGGGTATTCCATAAATATTATTTAGCTAACTTAGGTATTTTAATATCACTTTTACTAATATAACCCTTTAATTCTTTGTAATTTTACATAGTGAGGCACTAAGTGACTAATATATCCTTGAATTTTGATTTTTTTCCTTCAATAAGCTATTGAATTATAAATGTATTTTAAAAGTTGATAACTTTTGTAATTCTTATTGGTTTTACATATATAATATATCAAATTAATCATCTTTTGATGATCTTCGATTTGACATCCATATTGTACTAGTACAATACCCGTGTATTACACGGGTGCTTGTTAAAAAATTATTCTTAAATTTTAAAATTAATGAGAAAATTATATTAAATTTAGTTTACTTTTTTACAAAAAAAAAAAAAAAATATATTACTATATATTTTAAAATGATATGTGTTACTTATGACTTACATGTGTTATATTATATTAGTTTTTATAACTTATATCATATAACTACTTGAAATATAAATATATTAGTTGATAAATAATTTTATTTTTCTAATTAATATTAAAAATAATTTTATTATTGTTATAAAGATAAATATAAATTATTTTTTTTTATACTTACAATATGGATGTTAAATCGAAGCTTATCAAAAGAAGATTAATTTGATATATTACATATGTAAAACTGATAAAAAATATAAAAGTTATTAACTTTTATAATATATATACAATTCAATAGTTATAATAAGGAATGATATTAAAATACAATTAATACATGTAACATGACCATAAATAATCAACATATTTATGGTAATCCGAACCTAATTATTATTAGTTTGGAATTAAATTAAAATTTACCCAAGCCTAATAACGAAGCATGTAATTTTGCCACATAGGATTCCGAAGCACCAGAAGCAGCCACGTAGGCTCAACGCATTCTGTATTAATATATAGGGGGGATATATGAAATAAATAAATTGTATTTATCTTTATAATAATAAAAAATAATAATATTTATTAAAATTCATTAGAAAAATAAAATTATTTCTCAATTGATATATTTATATGTAATGTAGTTATATATTGTAAGTTAAAAAAAAAATTAGTATAATATAACACAAGTAAGTTGCACAAATAAAGTGTCATAATAAATATATAATAATATATATATTCTTATAAAAGATATTTAAATTTTCAAATTACTTTTTCTCATTAATTTTAGATTTTAAGAAAAAAATTAGCAAGCACCCGTGTAATACACGGGTGTTGTACTAGTTGTTACTGTTTTACTTCAGTATGAGTTTCTGCGGAGCACAGTGGCTTTTAGTGCTCACGCCCCCACTATATTATCCTTTTCAGGTCACCGGGTCGGTCTAGAGGAGTGAGCCTAGCTGGTGGTCGTGGGTTTGAGAATATATCATTTTGCAGACTTTTGATATGTATATATTTGCCACGTTTTTACTTCCGCTGAAATTTTCAGGTTTTCAGACTCGCATGTTAATTTTCAGATTTTGATCCGATTTACCAGTCGGATTTTGTATAGTATTACATGCTTGTTTGATTAAATATAATCCGTTTTTCTCAACAGTTTAAATAACGGGTTTTTCAGAACGGAAATGTTTTTCAGTAGCACTCGGAATCACGATTTCGCATATTAATAAGTATTTTTAGAAAAGATTTTGCAAAAATTTGACTCTGATATTTATAAGCTAGCGGGGTGTTACATGCTCACCCCTACTTTATTATTTCAAAAAATGCAAGAAAAAAATAAATAAATAAAATGTTAGAAACTTATGATCTAAAAATTTATTTCCTCATACATAATATTTATACTCCAAGATCATTTAACCGGGTGCCGTTGATTGATTTAAATCAATCACAACACTAACAAGTGGTGCAACAACACTACTCTTCTTTTCAGTTATTCCTTTCTCAGACAAAATCAAATCCCGAGACTCAAAATTCCCTAAGGTGCTGAGCTCGTCAATGGCGTCAGCAATGTTTTCGACGTAAGCAACTGTATCGTTCAGCAGGGATGCAACTGCTGCAACCGGAATCACCTGCACGAGGTTCGCATGTTCTCCCCAAAAATCCGATTTTAGGAGAGAACTAAGATTCTTCGACTCGGTTTTAAGGCTCGGCGCACGTGGATGGGGGTACGTTAGTTTGGTCATGGTCTCGACCGACCATGCTAGCTCTTTAAGCGCTTTTCCACATTCCGAGCTCATGTTTGCGATTGTGGCTCGGATATCTTGAGGTGCCTGTATTAAATTAATGTAGAAATAACAAGATTAATAAGCACATTTTTGGAAAATTTGATGTGTTCAGTTTTGTGTTTAAATTTTGCACATTGGTTTTGAAATATGTATCTTTTAGCTTCAAATGAATGTTCTTGCAAATTGACATACTTGAGATTTAGAATTTAGATAGCCTTTGAGAGCCTCAACTCGACAGGCACAACTTCTGGTTAAACTAGCTATTTTGAGATACTGTTTCCATGGATGGCGATACATGAACCGTCCGTGGCCCGGTTCCCATCGAGCGAAATTCACCTGCAGCACACAAAATGAAAATAAATTCAAAAAAAAAAAACCAAAATTTTCAAGAATTTAACCATCATGCCTAAAAAAATCACCAACCAAGGTTTCGACGCTGCTTTTGGAATCAAGAACACTGTTCAAGCCCACAAGATTCGATGATGATGATGATCCACCTTCATTATCCGATTGATCAATTGTTCTCAAACACTCCTCACCAAAATCTGTAGCTTAAACAAAAACCTCTAAGATCAAATCAACCTCAAAGTTGCTTATATTGCAAGAGTATATTGTAAAAGTTGGTCCAAATTAACATATATATAGGTGTACAAAATTATTGTTTTACCTTGTAAATAGTTTCCAATTTTATCGATATTTTTAGCAACAAGTTTGTGGAGGTCCTCGCCGGCCCAAACGGGATACACGAAAATGGACACGACCACACAAGTGGACGCGCCAATAGCCACGGTCGACAGCCTCTTGTGAGCAACCTCAAGAATTTCACGGGTTTTGAGACCCGATATGGAAACGAGACAAAACGTGAGTATGAATATTAGCATCCCGTAATCATATCTGGCCTTCACGGTCGGGAAAAACCGTATGAATGTCGACACGACAGCTGCAAAGGATACAAAAATTACGAACAACGTATTATATATTGATTCGCATGTTTGTAAATCTAAGTGAAACAAAATATGTGTATATATATACCTTGTAGGAAGACAAATAGTCCAATCAATATGGGCTCGCACGTTTTTCCGCTCAAAACCGCAAGATGATGAGCTCCGATTCCTAATCCACCGGCTACCAATGTCGCCAATCCCCTGTTCAGCCCTTTTCCTAACGTCGCGCCTGAACACAATTATATATGGTTTTTCTATTATGTTTTTTTCTTCTTGTTTGAATTGAACCCGGTTTCGACTGGAAATTTTGAGCACGACTTACCGACAGAGAATTCAAAGACGACCACGACGGTCATGACAGCCCACATTGCCGAGACCCCGAAGCTGCTGTACAAAGGCTGGAAGTAGTAAAAAAGGGAGACCAAAGTTAGAGCAAGTCCAACTTTTAGTGAGTGTGTCAATCTTCTTGGATCATCATTTGCAATTTTCTTGATCTGCAATGATGTGTTATTCAATTTGGTAAGTGCCTTTGATGGGAACTCTTTAAGCCATAGCCATCCACTCTGAAAAGTTGTCACCATATCTCTAGATATCTCAAGTTATAAGTTAAATTCTTATTTATTTTTTTTTTTTTTTCACTCTTTAATTATGAGATGGTTTAGGACAAGTTTTGCATGAAAAAAGTGACAATGTCTAAGGAAAAAGGGAATCAAAGCGAAAGTGAACGAGTGAGATTGTGTTTATGGGGCGGCTTATATAAGGAGACATTTATTGGATGGAAACATATTGCTTGCTTTTCCTTGTATGTTTTTTTACAAGTGTATCCATGTAATACACGGGTAATAATACAAATAATATTTATAAATAAAAATATAGGGTTGACGTGTAATATAATTTACTGTATATTAATTTACTACACGAATAAATAATATTACATAATATTTATAAACTAAAAAGGTGCACTACAAAAGAAAAAAAATCATATCTATCGGAAAATTCTACGGTAATATATTCCAATGAAAATTCAAACGGATATTCCAATAGTATAGATTTCGTTGAAAAAATTTCAACGGAAGTATTCTGTTGGAATGAGTTTTCCATTGGAATTTCGATGGAGTTTTCTCATTCCAACGACCATTATTCCAACGGTTTTTTACCGTAGGAATTTTCGTTGGAATGTAAAATTTTCGTTGGAATTTTTATTTTCACACATATTTCAATCTTTAGAAAATGTGTCGTTGGAATCCAATTAGAAGATATTTCCGTTAAAATTTTCCATTATAATTTCATCACACTCTCGTAGTGGAGGGTTTTAATATATTTGCCCTACATTTTTTGTAAAATTTGTTGGTTCACGGTTCAATTTTTGGTTGAATCGGAATTGACCTTAGATTTTCACCGGGCCGGTTCAATTAACAGAAGGTTTGTTCATAACCGATTCGAGTATGAATTGAAAAGAAAAAAAAAGAGTAATTAATTAATTTTTTTTAATTTTAAATTAGAATTTCTACGACTAACCAACCCGAATCAAATGTCGGGATGGTCCACGGAATGTGGTCAATTGTCCATGTCACATCCAAAAACGTTGACCACGGGCGAACCCTGGGCATGACTAGGTATGAAGACCATTTCCAAAGCATTACGCAAATATCATTGTTCTAAAAATTAGCCTAGGCGGTGCCCGGGCGCCTCCGATGTGCACAAATCGGCAGAAAAATTTTTCCACGCGACTAGGCGTGCCTAGGCGCTCCCAGGCGGATTTGGCGGGCTCGGCAGCAAGGCGGTTAGGCGGCGCCTAGGCGGGCATAGGCAGACCTAGGCGGGGTCGGCGACAATTTTTCAGTTTTTTTTTTTAAATACTAATTACATTATTTTGTTCTCATATTTTATTTAAAATATATTAATATTATTTGGACTTAGGTGTGTCGATTTATTATAAGTTGATATAATTTTACTTTTTAGGTAATTAAAATAAATAAAAAATAAAGTATTTAATATTGATTTCTATGCTCCGACTAGGCGCCGCCTAGGCTCTCTAGGCGCTAAGCGTTGGTCGAGCGCCTAGTGACTTTTAGAACACTAGCAAATATATACGCCACTTATCATTGTCAGCAATGTCTTATATAATAACATAATTTTGAAGTATTTCCATTAAATGGCAAGAAATTCAAAATTATAGGATAAAAATCTCCAAGCGAGTTGTTGGGGTAGAACAACAAGCGCAGCGGACAATAATACTTCTATAACAAACATGACAAACACTAGTACTAACGAGAATAAGCAAACACAAATAAATAAAAGACGAGAAAGAAAAAGAACATAAAAATTGATAACGGAGTTCGACAAATATCGCCTACGTCTCCAGACACCGCCAACCGCAACGCCAAAATTACTAAACTCACCAACAATATATAACTAGGGTTAAATAACTCAAATTAGAAGTTCCTTAATTAAGGGATTTCATTCCATGATAGGAGATAATAGAATAAGGTGCAATTGTAACCCGAAGGCAAGTGACTTATCAAAAATTTTATGGAGTCATCGGATTACTCCTTTATGAAGCCATCCATAACATTATGTACTGACACATGTCCAATGTGCATTTATTGCAGGACACGTGTCAATACACCATTTGTAAATAACTATGGATGACTCCATAAGCCGAGTCATCCAAAGGCTCCATAGCAAAATCAAGGGACTTATTTATATTAAAAAGACTCTATACATCTTTGGTACATATTCCAAACTGTGGGACAAAAAATTAATCAAAATTCTAACACGAGTTAATGGGAAAATTTCAAAACTAGTCCCACATGTATAGGGGGTGACAATTTTGGTCCTAACGGAATGTAGAAAATATGAATGGTCCCACAACTTTTTCAAAATAATCAAAAGTAGGACTTTTGTTGCCGGATTTACTATTTTTGGCCCGGAACGCCACGCCATGCACACGTGGCTTATCTTTTTACACGCTGGCATCCCACGTGGATAGGGAAAAATTCAAAACTAGTCCCACAGGTATAGAGGGGGTGACATTTTTGGTCCCACATGTATGCAGGAAAATATGAATAGTCCCACAGCTTGTAGAAAAATATGAACACGTGTGCATGATGTGGCGTTCGAAGCCGGAAATAATAAATCCGGCAACAAAAGTCCTACTTTTGATCATTTTTACAAAACTGTGGGTCCATTCATATTTTCTGCATTCCGTTAGGACCAAAATTGTCATCCCTCTATACCTGTGAGACTAGTTTTGAATTTTTCCCGAGTTAAACCAGGAAAATGGATAGGGCAAAGGAATATATTCATTATTTTGTCATGAATATATATTTTTAGGCCTTTTTGTACATTTAGCAAGTACACACACATACTTGAAAAGAAAGGGTGGCAAATTGCAATAGTCATGAAGTGGGGTACTTCACATATTGGCTGGTCGATCTATTGTTGTTACCAGCAATTCAAAATTCAGATGGCACTAAAGATTGTACGGAAAGTGAAACAAAATAAAATAAAAAAAAGTAAAAAAAAAAAAAAAAAAAAAAAAAAAAAAAAAAAAAAAAAAAAAAAAAAAAAAAAAAAAAAAAAAAAAGCTGGCCCTCAAGTTGCCGTTTAACAGTTGGTGCAGTTTGCTTCTTTGTAAAAAGCTTCATTCTTTACTGGTAATGGCAAATCTTATCACCATTTTATCTAAGTGTTTATATGAACTGTTGCCCACATAATTTTTTTCCCAAGATAAGTGCTCTCAACTCTTTATTGGCGTGTTGGGCGTTTTGCATCTTATTTGGTTAATTATTAGGCGAAAATGCATAAAATTATATATTCTTATATGTGTTCTTGAAAATTAAGTTACCAAAAGGAACTGATAGCTTATTCTGCTTAATCATTTATTTCCTTTATCATGATATGCTTGATTAAACTCCTTGTAAAGCTCTTGATAGCTGATTATAGTGATGTTAAATAGAATTGGTGCTTGATTAAACTCCTTATGAGCTCTTCATAGCTTATTATAAAGATGTTACGACTATGTTTGGTAAACTTAGCTGATAAGTCAGTTGATAACTTATAAGTGAATTTCGTATACTTTTTAGTTGATGGCTAATGGTTTATGAAGAAAAGTTAGCTGATATGATAAAGTGTTTGGTAAAACTAGTTGATAAATCAGTTTAAATAAAAAATTCAACGAGCTTATTTAAAAACTATTCAACGAAACTTATGAGATAAGTCTGAGCTTTATAAAACAGTTTGTTGAATTCTTCATAGCTTATTATAAAGATGTTACGACCATATGTTTGTTTAACCTAGCTGATAAGTTAGTTGATAGTTTATAAGTGAATTTCGAATACTTTTTAGCTGATGACTAATGGCTTATGACTGAAAAGTTAGCTGATATGATAAAAGTAGTTGATAAGTCGGTTTAAATAAAAATTTCAACGAACTTATTTAAAAACTATTCAACGAAAATTATGAGATAAGTCTGAGCTTTACAAAATAATTTATTCTACCAAACTAGACTTATTTGAATACAACAAGTTTATAAGTTAACCCAATATTTCAGCGGGCTTATTTGAAAATATATACAAAGAAACTTATGAGATAAGCATGAGTTTTATAAAAAAGTTCGTTCTACCAAATTAGATTTATTTGAATACAGCATGTTTATAAACTAACCCAAATAAACTATAAGTTAACTTATGGTGCTTACCAACCACTTCTTACAACGGACAGTTTAGTAGGAAAATAATATTGTTACGTCATTTATTTTGCGACATATTTAAATTCTTTTTTTTTTTTTTTTGCCCATACCATATATTTAGCCCAATCTCGTATGATCAACATTTAGTAGACCTTTTTTTTCTAAACGATAGAGCATCTCTTGCATTAATCAACCAAAACAACCAAAACGTACAAGTTACAAATACACAACACAGCCGAACATGGAAGTCACACGCAGGTGTTCTAGAATACACATCTGAAAACATTTACAGGCCACAACTAATAAGGGGATAAAACAGTGATAACCACCGAGCCTTTGTCCCCAACAATACATAAACAATACTCATAAAGAATAGATGGACCACTGATTTAACATCCTAGCCCATCAACAACAATAAAACTATCTGCTAACTGTCTGCATTCTTCTACTACCTAAATATGTCTGCCAATCTCGTATAGCTTCTTGAATAATTTGTTGTGTTGTCCTTCTTACTCCCTCAAATATCCATAAGTTGCGCGACTCCCAAAGCCACCATAAAATGTAAGTCGACAGTTGTATCCGGGCTTCAGAAATTTTTGATTTATCTAAGTGGCACACCTGCCACCACCAGCTTTTGAAAGTCTCATGTTCCTTTGGCCCATCCCAACTAACAGGGGCTAATCTCCATGTAAGCTGAGCAATTCTACATCTGAAAAATAGATGCTCAAGTGTTTCATCATCTTCCCCGCAACATTTGCAGATTGTGTCAATTTGAAACCCCCTAGCTTTAAGATTCATGGAAACTGGGAGAGAACCATTACTACATTTCCATAAATAATGTTTTACCGTCCCCAATATTTTAAGTTTCCAACACCCAGTCCTGACTTT